CTGGTCTGGACTACATGTGATTCCAGACCCACAGCAATGACTCTTAACAGCCCTCTGAAATGGGCAATAAACGCTGGCCTAGCCAGTGAATGAATATAAAACAAAGACACTGATAGTCTACAATATGCAGTGTTGAGATTGCTTTAAACTTGTCAGCAAAGTTTTCCATCATTTTAGTTTAATTTTTCTAAACAATTGCTTTGCTTTGTGTACACAAAGAATCTTGAAAGTTACATAATGATTGTATTCATAACCCACTCAAGCATTATTGCTATGGTACACATTACTTGAGGCTGACTGCCTGCAAAGTAAGTGTTTTGTTTGTCCTTCAGTTCCGTTCTCCTCAAATGTATTTTGTCACGTACATGGTCTACTGGAAGATTTCAAATCAATTGTGTAACTCTCAAAGGTGTAGTTGCAAGCTGCAGATCTCCTAATGACTGTCCTATATTGATAATAAATATCACATTTGTTCAAAACGAAGATTTGGGGCAATCAGCTGCTACTTCGCTCATTTACTAAACAAGCTTCAATGAAATGAGCAATTTTCAGGCACTATACTTTGATCTTCAACTGCTGGATCAGAAAAGTGTATGAAATGTGCCAAATGATTTGACCGTTATCAATAAAAGATGAGAGAAAGGGTAACCATCCTCTTGGTCCCCCCATCTTAAATACCTTTAACTCCGCCATTCTTGCAAACTACCCCACATCTCCAACTTTCCTTTCCTCTCTGAAACCTTTGAAAATGTTACTGCCTCACAAACGATGTTCATTTGTTTCACAACTCCATGCTTAGATCCCTCTAGTTAGGTTCCTACCCTAGCCACAATATCAAAAATGCACCTATCAAAACCATATGTGACATCCTATGTGACTGTATCAAAGTTAACTGTGCTCTCTTTGTCCTACTTAATGTATCTACAGTCTTTGTCAAGCTGGTACAGTGGCTCAGTGGTTAGCACTGCTACCTCACAGCGCCAGAGGCTCGGGTTTGATTCTACCCTTGCGCCACTGCCTGTGTGGAGTTTTCATGTTCTCTCCATGTTTATGTGGGTTTCTGCTGGCTGGTACAGTTTCTTCCCACAGTCCCAAGATGTGCAAGTTAGGTGGATTGGCCATGCTGTATTACCCATAGTATTCGGGGATTTGTAGTTTAGGTGGATTGGCCATGCTATATTAACAATAATGTTCAGGGATGTGTAGGTTAGCTGCATTAACCACGGGAAATGCATGGTTACAGGGATAGGGTAGGGGGATGGGTGTGGGTGGGATGCTCTTTGGAAGGTCAGTGTGGACTTGTTGGGCCAAATGGCCTGTTTCCACACTGTAGGGATTCTATTCTATTCTATTAAACATCTTTCTCCAAAGTTCTCCAGTTGAATGGGACTCTACTTGCCTGGTTCCATTCTTATTTATCAAATCATAGTTGGGAAATCATTTGCTATAGTTTCTCTTCCTACCCTGGTACCACTGACTGTGCTGTCCCCCAGCGATCTATCCTTCACCCCTTTATTTCTCATCTACATACTGCCCTTTCACAGTTCTTGAAAACCAAGGCGTTAATTTCCATGCATACAGTGTTGGCTCCAGCTCAATTGCACCAACACATCTTTCAACTCCTTTTGTGCAAGATTTTGCCAGCCTCTGGGTGGCAGGACTGGATGGGAGCAGGGAGGCTGATAAAATAACAGGGACTGCTGCTGCTGCATTTTTCATCCCACCATCCCCTCACCCCCAGATTACTATGCTTGCTTGACCCTAACAGAAATGTTATTTTCTTCCTCTCCTGTGAAGACATCCCAAAATGGAGACTCCACCTCATTTTCCATGCAGTCTCAACAGCAGTCATCAGTGTCCAGAACCATTCTCTATCCTTAATTGGAAGCTTCACTGGTAGCTAATTAGGAGACTACTCCTTGCAAAATTGCCACTTGTGGCCCTACTGTCCACCTTCATTTAAAACTAACATTCGCACCCAGTCCCTAATAATGGTTTTCAACCAGTCTATGGACAATTTTCATTAATGATGTTAGCTGATCATTTAGGATTGTTCCTTAGGCTAGGATTTTTGCTCCACAATTAGGTAACACAAGTTGGGAAATTTACTGGCTTGCTACACCACCTCAGGAGAAGCTTCCCAAAATGGTGTGATCTTTGTTTCAAGTAGGAGTGGGGTGTGTGTACGATTGAATTAAACTTGCTATCCTCTAGCACAGATCAAAGGCTTGCCACACTGAGGCTGTTAAGCGTTGAGACAGTCTGTTCAAAAAGCTTGCCTTGATTCTCTGGGGCTTTATTTATGTTTTTTGCACATTTTTGACATTCTCTAATCCTTTCCTACAGCACCTTCACCTCCCAGTCACTCTCCATGCCCCATTCATGCCAACTCATACCACCTTATGCTCCTCACCTATCTTCAATAGCCCCTCATAACATACTAAAATCTATACCTCTCACCCACCTACGGTACTCCTACCCTCCAAGTCAACTTATGCCTCTCAACCTTATTGCCCCAAATACCAACTTTTGACAAGTCACACCAATCTACCTATCATCCTTTAGTCTTACACCCTTCATGACATTATCACCAAGCACAGATCTCAACAGCAATTCTGAAATGAAACAAAATATATTTCTAAATATTTGTTATAGCTTTTATCATATTGAAAAAGCATTCATGGGACCTAATTCAAAACTTTTAGATCCCTTTAATTACCTCATATTTTATAGAAACAAACTGACTTGTATCCATAACCCTATATCAACAACAACTAATCCTTTAATAAACTCTTTGAGGAATCAATCAACTATGTATTTTGGATACCCGTTAAGCTAACAAGACAATTGATTGAAAACAGACAAGCAGTAATGCTGTCATATAGGATGCCTTAGGATAATATCAACAAACCATTGTCGTCGGATTTCTTTTTAATTTTCATAGGCACAGGCAGCTAAGTTTTGTGAAAACTTTTAAAGGCTAAGGCTTTAAATAACTTCACAGTTTGACAGTTCAAAAGATTTTCTTCATAGTCAACAGCATTTACATCTACCTTCAAAAATTGTAACTCTCACACCACAGGGACAGTTTCAGGCCCTCATTACATTGCAAATAGGGTCAGTTGAGTTCAATGTTGATTTCATGGACTCTACTGATTCCCACTTGTGTGGTGAAAAAGAGATCTGTTGGAAATAGGAGCAGGATCTGAATCTGGGACCTGTTAGCCATTTTTGAAGTTTCCATGACTACACGAGAATTCAGGCCTTTAAGTCTGACATACAAGTTGATTTGTACAGAACCAACAAGACAATGAACCTTTCATTGTTAAGACTCTGGTTAAGGTGTTTGGGTTTGCATGCTGTTTGCATGGGTCTGAAAGGATTAATACTGAGCAGTGCCATACAGTAACTGAATTATTGAACTGTTCTGAAGAACAGACATACCGGACTTAAAACCATAACTTTGTTTCTCTCTCCACAGATACTGCCAGACTGGCTGAGTTTCTCCAGCATTCTATTATGTTCTATTCAGTTTCAGATTTATAGCAATCAGTATTTTGCTTTTAATTATCTAAAAATATTTTGTTATGTCAGAACCCCCCTGGCTCTGGTACTTCTGGTTTCTTCCGGATAGTTCCATTTTTTCCTGTTGACTATGACTATTGACAGTTTTTCCTCAATTGGCTTTACTGACATCAACACAACAGGATAGAATTTCCCTCTGCCCACGAGACCTGTCACTGACCCTGGAAAAGCTCTAGTTTCAATAAATATTAATAGTATTTCCCAAAATTGTGCTGGGTTGAGGAAATCCTATACAAATTGCGCTTTAGAAATAAGCAAATTGCAAATCAATGGGGTACTGCAATTCGCTACTTCACAAAAAAAATGTAAAAATTAAACCAATTGCCAGGGAAGATCATTGCAGTGCATAATACAAATGACCTACTTCAGAACTTAAAAAAAGGGGGAAGATTTGTGACATGGCAGGAAGATGGATGTGAGATCAATGAAAAAGAAGCTAACATTCTGCAGTAATTTCCCCTAAAATTAATTTCTTTTTTCCCCATTTCCTGATACACCAAAGGAGTTAATCTGCTCCCTTCACCAAATTCTGATGTACCCATTTTCGCAGAGACATCAGGAATAACTCAATCAGCTCCTATTGTGGCTGGGACCTCTGTATGGAGCCCCATTTTTATGTATTATTTTCTGTTTGGCCTACACATCGGAATGATTGGAGGAATAGAGTTCTAGGTATTCTCCAGGTCAATTATCCTGACCCATATGGTAGTATAAAAGCAATTTGATGTTAGAAAATGCAAAACATTTGGAGGCCTTTGACGTTGTAAGACAAGTTTTCAGTCTCTGTGAAACATATTCCCAAAAGATGTTATTTTTCCCTACATAGCTGACTTAATCTTTGCCTTTACTGTAAGTCCAGATCTTAGCCAATGACATAAACCATTGACGGGCATATGATTTTAAATCTACTGTGCCATCAAGATGCAATTTAAGCCCTTCGTGTCTGTGTGCAGAAAATGCTGCATGAAATAACATCAAAAAACATTTTCTATTCTGTTTGTTTCACTCTCTCCAACTTCTTCAGGTGTTTACCTTGTGACACTCATATTACAACCAAAAGATGTAATTTTTGGAAAAAAAATAAAATGCACATGTACTGAAGTGAAAATTTAAAAAAAAAACAAAATTTAATGTGAAGGTATTATACAGCAGAAAAATAAACATTTTCAAATTTATATCAATGAAAAACAAATACAGTGGCTTGTTTTGTTGAAGATATTGTCAAAAATGTTATATTAATATTTCAGATGTGTGTTTATCTCAGGCAATATTTTCCATTTCATCCTATTACTGAATTAGTCAAGCAGATTTTGAACAACTATAAATGAAATGTCTATGACATTGCAGTTTAACACCATCTTTAAAACAGACAGAGATGCTACTTTGGATTAAATTATTTTATTTTCTCTTTCTAGCCATTCAGAACTGTTTTTAAATCCATTCATCTCTTTGAGAAGTTTCAAAAATCCTATTCCAAAGCTGGACAAGTGTGTTAAGGATGATGGGGATTCTGTTACACTTCCTGCTATAATGCGATAGGGAAAACAATTGTTTCATTCATTTTTGATAAGTGAACACTATTTGAGAAATGAAAAAATTGTAAACTCTCCAGTATTAATATCATCTTACAGAAAATGTACTAATGCATTAAAAATATACGAGCAATGTACTTGTGATTCATGTGGTAATGTTTTGTTTTGAATGTGTTAATTTTGAGTATGGTTGATAAATGAAGTTTTTTTTCTTTTCAATTTTCATTAGTACCTTTAAAGCTATTGAAACTCTCACCATTATACAATTAGTGTAAGAATTGATTTAAGTGCAGCTATTTTTGAATTTGTAGAAACTGTTGCAGAATTATTACATTTTTCTATTTATCTATTATCTTCAAAATGCTGCATATTTTAAATGATACTGACCAAACAAAATTGAAAATATTGTGTGCATGGCAATCTTTTAATGGTATCTAAATTGCAGTCTATTCAAGTATTAATATTTTTACTGTTGGGAGTATTAAAATACATATTGTTAATGATTTGATTAATATTATTGCAATTGATCTAGAATTAATTGTATTTTGATGAGAATGTCAATACATAACTAATTTACAGTTCACTTTATGTCTTTTCTATCCTTGTAAAGGTGATAATGATCTCTATTGTAGCATCTTAAATATTTTTTTTAAATGATAGCTTATGCAGCTTTATGGTTGCAGAAAGGGACATCTTTAGCTCTTCTACTTGAGTGACATGCTTATGCACCAATGGTTTAGTTGAGTATTTTATCCCAAATTGTTAAAGAAATCAACGAGAAATAAACTGGTCTCTGACTGCTGCAGTACAGCGATCATGTCTTTGACCACCTTTAGGGAATCTCCTAAATCTTTATAAATTTCATCAAATTATTTCTGTCACTTTTTTTTCAAAAAAAGGGTTTTCCATAAACTGTAATATTTAATATTTTAATCTTTATCTGGGAATTGAAGTATTTTCTGGGTCAAAACAAAAATGATGATCTTAAGTAAATATTTTAAAAAATACAGCAAGACATTCAGGAATCGAAAGAGAAAACGAACAGATTAATATTTTGGATAAAGATGCTTGACAAAATTTAAAACAATTTTGTATAAGTTGTTCTAGTTCACAAATACTTTCATAGCATGCAAAGGGTTAATACAAACTGACATTTGGAGCAAAATGAGTAAATTATGTGTTAGGTTGACCTTTGAATACTATGCCGACTAAATATACATACGCCTGCTATTGCAAAAATTATATTGAGTCACTCTTTTTATCCGGGTCAAAGTTCTGAAAGATTATAGAATTTATTAACAGTACACTGAATTTTTTAGAACAAAAAAAATTGCTTTTATCATTGATTAAAACCACACTTAATATCGGAATGTTACTTCAAAAAAGTTCATTTTCAGAGCATGTGTTCCTTGGAGAAATGATTGTGAAATGGTTCTGCTGTACTTTTGTGGATTCTTTCTAAATTAAAGGCTGGACCACTGTTGAGAATAAATGTACTTTAATTTCAGAGAGTGAAAAGGCGAACCCAAGCTGAACCCCTATTGAGATTTAATTTTAGAAAATAATTCTGAGTGCTTTATTCTATATGGGAGCTGAGCAGCAGCCATACACAAAGCTGGACAGACTGTTGATGAATAAAAACGCCACAGTAATTTTGGATGTGAGTGCTATCTCTTTGATTACTCAAGCTCCAAGGTAGTCCATCACGCCACAATAATTCACCCGGCATTGACTCTCACCTTACTACTGCATTTTTCCCATCAGTCCGATTAGAAACAGCACTGCCCTTATCAGATTAATCTCTTACAATTCTAAATCTGACCTCTGAATAAAAAAAGCCTTCTGATGCAGAATATCATTGCAGGCAAGAAAGCTTCAACAGCTGACAGCACTCGGCATGGATCATCCCAAAATGGATCGTCTAATACACTTCTGCTATCCCATAACATGGTCTGAGAACACCATTCTCCTCCGTGGGTCTGTTTTGCTGTGCTGCCTTTGTACTCGTTTTTTCAAGCAGAAAAGAGGTGGTTAGGGTCAATAGTGAAGAGATTTAGCTCTGGGTACAGAGACTGCTTTTTTAGAACTGACGCTGGGGGGAAGGGAATAAATATAAAATAATCCAGGGATATGCAATCAAAAAGAAAAACAAAAGGAATTTTGGTTTACAAAGTTTTGAGCCATATTTTCTATTTTTCAAAACAAGGTGAAATGCTGTCTTTTTACAGATTTTAAAGACTTACAAATCAAATAATGAGCATGGTGAATTTTCTTCAGAGCAATTTTTGCAATAAAATTTTAGTATTTTAGTAATAAAAATACCATCCATAGTACATCAATATAATGTTCCAACATGGTTTTTCAAGTAACCAGCTCAAACACTATAAATGCCAAAAAAAGTTTGTTCATTCAGTAATGGTTTCTGCATAACATGTTGAGAAATGATTCCGCAGCCAATTTGTAAAGCAATTTTTAATTGCTTAGTCTCCTGGTAGCTTTCTGGTCCAGCAAGATGGCACACAAAAACAGATGGAGTATAACGTTGGGAAGTGTAAGGTTATTCAATCTGTTTATAAGAAAAGGAAAGCTATATTTTTTAAAAAGGGTACAAAACTTTTAAATGTTCATGTTCAGACCTGAGTACACTCATAAAAACCGAAAGACTGTGGATGTGGTAAATCAGGAACAAAAACAAAAGTTGCTGGAAGCTCAGCAGGTCTGGCAACATCTGTGAAGAAAAATTCAGAGTTAACGTTTCGGGTCCAGTGACCCTTCCTCAGAACTCATCTAAGGAACAAAAAGTTAGCATGCAGATACAACAAGCAATTACAAAGGCAAATGGTATGTTGGCCTCAATTGCAAGGAAACTGAAGTACCAGAAGGAGAAAGTCTTGCTACAATTGAATAGGGCTTTGATGTGACTGTATCTGGAATGCAATATGCAGTTTTGGACTTCTTATTTACAGAGGATAGTACTTGCACTGGAGGAGGTAAGATGAAGGTTCTTTAGATTAATTGCTAAGAGGAGAGCATTGTCCTTTGATGCATGGCTGAGTAAATTAAGCCTATAGTTTTATTAAAGCACACAAGAAGGAGATTGACTGGATAGACAATGTGAGATTGCTTTCCCTGTCTGGGAAATCAAGGACACAGTCTCAGGTGTGAATCATTTTGAAATGAGATAAGAAGACATTTCCTCACTCAGAGTTTTGAGCATCTTTGGAATTGTCAATTCCACATGACTGGGGAAGCTCATTCATTGAATGCACCGTAAGGCTGAAATAGATATTCTTTTGGTTTTAGTTTTATCAAGGTATATGAGCATTAAGGCAGAATAGTAGTCATAAATGGCAAGGTAGGCCTGAGGGCTATATAATTTACCCCAGCTTCTATTTCTTATGCACTTATAACATGGCTTGGAGTCAAGGTGCAGAGCAATATATTACACATTATGTGAACTTGGACTAATGGAAAGACCAGGAGAAGTTGAAAGGGAGCAGCAATTAACATAGGTCAAAATTGCAAAATTGCAACAGGAAGTAGGTGTGGAATCAAATTTAAGTGAATATTGTTACAGACATTGTCAATGAAACATTTCCTGTAGACAAAGAAATGTTCAGAGGGAATAGCAAGGGAAATAGTGCAAATAAAATTACAAGCTAATATAAATGGCAGTGCATGTACTATAAAGCAAAGAGAATATGCTGCAGAAAGAATCTGCCATGAGCAGAATCACCCTGACTTAATGTACACTCATTTACATTTAAAAGCAAAACTGACAGACAATAGCAGGAGTGCATAGTGGATTAGATAATTAGCCCTACCTGTGGTAAACTTGCAGAATATGTAAAAAGAAATGAATAGGAGTTTTAGTTATTTAAAAGATTATATCTGAGAAAATTGGATGCATGTGCAGGGCAGAGATTCAGTATTTTAATCAAGTATTCTATGACTTGCATCATATTTTACATTGACTAGGTATGAATACCCAATAGTTATTGTAGTTAAACAGATAAACTGGTCATATATACTCATTGTTGTCTGTTCATTCATGTCTCTCTTCATGGAGCAGGGAGATTCAGACAGACAGTCGTCAGAACTCATTCAGAGAGGAATATCAATACAGCATCTTGCTTCAACATATGCATCGGCATTTATCAGCAGCACAGGTACAAACAATTGTTGACAAATATGTATTGCTGGTTATCAGCTAGATCAGGAAGGTGTAGCGGTGGTAAATGATTACAACATGGTGCAGGGCTGGATGAACACAGCAGGCCAAGCAGCATCATAGGAGC